CAAGAACGATTATCACCATTAGCATTAATAAATATAGAAAAAGATTATCAAATCGATAGTGATACCATTGTAACCAATTTTGTATCAAAAAAAGATAAAAAAAAAAAATATTTTGAAATTAAATAAAAGTATTGTATATTTTTCTACTATTAATACATATTTAGGAACACTTATAACTATTCTATTCGAACTGTTAAAAAATGAAAGAAGATTCTTATACATATAGTTCTTTCAAAAAGAAGCAGCTGTTAAAATATTCGGAAAAATTTTATGTGAGTATCAAGTCTTATATACAATGGTCAGTGAATGAAGACAGTCAGAAAGACAAACATGAGTCTTCGCTAACTCGTTCTGAGTAAATTTTTTTTTTCAAGAAAAAATGTTAGCCTGTTATAAGACTCTTAATTTACTCTCTGATGAATTAGTATACAAACTTTCAGCGCTATGGACTTTGAAAAATTAAGTTTAAAAAAAAAGCTTCTACTACAGAATCCATCAGTATGTGGAAGGTTGTACACTATACAGCCTTATTTAAAAGTTTATTGCGTCCCCTAAAAAATCGAAGCTGCGCCACCCATGTATCAGTCAATAGAAAGGATATTATGTACATTCCTAACAAATGATATACGTATCTCGTTTATTGATAAATAAATAAATAAAAAGTCTATTCAAAAACAACTATCACCACCATATATATAATCTTGAATGTTGATCATCATACATTGTTTTACAGTCGCATGGTAAAAGTCTTGATTTAATTAATTTACTTATATAATGAGATTCTTTACCATCACAACTAAAACATAATAATTTTAAATGTCGAGCATTTGTATTAGTTTTATTTAATAAATATTGTAAAACTAATTGTATTTGTTGTAATTCGACAGATGTTTCAATATATTGTATATTCGGAAATAATTTGAGAAATATTTCAAGATTTTGTAATGTACATTTACCATAAAAATGAAGCGATTTAATTAAATTTATTTTCGATATTAATCGAAATAATGGATTTTGTTCAAAAAGTTTTTTACCATATCCATCAAATGATATCGATCGAAATTTTAATGTATGTACATTAGGCATATATGATAATAATTCAGACATCTTTAAAGGACATAAATGATCAGATAGAATTTCAAGAATTTGAATTTGTTTTAAAGATAAAATACGTTGAAGATTATTTACAATTGTTATATCATTAATAGAAACTTTAGATGCTAGAGTAAGTATAGTAGCATGTGGAAAATAATATGTATTTTCTTTAATTTCGTTATTATCTTCAATTGTAACATGATGAACTGAATTTAAAATTGTTTGGAAACGATTCTTATTTGATTTGCCTTGACTTAGTCGATAATTTTTTCTTCTAAAATAACAAAAAAATGTCGTAATCATTATGTTATTGTTATTTTTATCGCCTCTTGATTATTTACCTAAATGGATTCGTTGAATAGAAAAGTGTTTCATCATAAAATTTTGTTGAATAGGCACGACATTCAAAAAACCATTGTCGTTCAATCCAAAATAAAGAATTAAAATTCTTCATTTCTTGTTTAATTTCTGTATTGTCAGCGAAACGTATTTCACATTTAATATCAAAAGTTTGTAAATTTGTTAAAGATGAAGATATTAATCGTTTCCATCTATTAGCATTAAGCAATTCTTTATCACCAGAAATACGTAAGAATTGAATAGATGTACAATAATTAACTAAAAATAGTTCGAAATCATTAAATGTAACACAACCATACAATTTTAAAGACACATGTGTTAAATTATTCAAAACAGCACATGGAGGTTTTAATATAAAATCTGTTTTATGCCATATATGTGTTGAAAGATGACGAAGTTGTGGAAGATATAATAATAATGTACTTAATTCATCAAATCCTATTCCATGATCAATATTTAAATGTTCAACTGGACTATATTCGTTAAGAGTTAATGGTGGTACATGTTTTGGAAATTTTCTTGATAATGATAATTTACAATATCGTAATGAAGTTAAACGAAATATTTGTTTATAAATAAAATCAATATTTTCGACGGCATTAATTGTTGAAATAGTTAATGATGAAAGATTTGGTA